TACTACGCCGTGCTCGCGGGGGACGAGCGCGGGGACTGTGCCGGCGGGGACGTCAGGAAGGACAACGCCATCCGCCCGGGGAAGGACGGCCTGGAGGGCACCACGTCCCACCTGCAGAGAATCGGCGCCGTGGGCCTCTACCCGGCCCAGGACAGCGCCGCTCAGCTCAGGGAGCTGCGTCTGGATGGCAATGTGGCCGTCTGGCTGCCCTCCCGGCCGGCCAAGCAGGGAGACGTGGTCACCGTCTATGTCACCGTCGCCAGCAACTCCACCGTGGACTTCTTCATCTTGAGGTAGGTGCCCACGCTGGCCCACGAGAGTCTTGGCGTGCCCCGGGGAGACTGGGCTGGGTGCTGGGGGGATGGATTCAGGAGGAGTCACACGGGAAGCCGGGAAGCCAGATGCCTCACCAGCTCCTCACCTGGTATCAGGGATGGGGCAGGGAGGGCAGAAATTGCATCCCAAAGAAGGCAGATGAAATGGATCACTCTCTTTTTTGACCTGGAATTACCATTGAATTTGGAGATGGGTATGATTCTTCCTTAGCTCTGAATTCTTCAGTAGATATGCGAACACTGTGCACCGTTTGCATGGTTGAATGTGTTAATACATGGTCAGGGAGCCCAAGAAAAGATATAAGCAGGGTGATGTCTCACTCTGGGTGTATATATGTGAAAAAAGCCAGAGAAAATACCCTGTTCCTTATTTGGTGGGGTTAAATATTGCCAGTGAGTAGCTGGGAAACCCCAGTGCGTGAGTCCAGTGTTCAGCAAGGGTTAATGGAATCTGCCCAACAGAAAATGATTCAGCAGAGGTATTCCATCTCTTAAGAAAAGAAAAACAGGAACTAATTTAAATCAACAAACAGGATAACCCACCTGCCATCACCACTGCTGCTTCGGCAGATTAAACCCACGTTGTAACGGGACGGCCCCGTCGCTCTGGGTGATGAATGGCTCCAAAGTTTGGCCGAGGAGCGCCTGTTATCTGAGGATAATTAATACTGGGGGGAAAGCCACTTAAAGCAAATCCTCTTAAAAATGTGGACCAGAATTTCACAATTATGGAAAAGCGTCTTTGATTGAGATTTGTTCAAAAGATAAAGGCGATAAAAATCAGGGTGTTTATTATAGTTAAGAAGGACTAAGGTTATAATGGCAGCTGTGCTTTGGTGCCTTTTAGAATAAAAATTAATCACATGTTGAATGAGTTGCTTGGGGAAATATTCACAAAATAGGATGGTACTATGTCACAGCACATTTCATTTTGGTTGAACTTTTGTGGTGTGACTTTAAGGAAGGTCATGTTGAAAGGTTCTGATGTCTTTACAAAATGCGTTCCTAGGTTTCAGTGCATTTCTCCAGGCGCCTTTTATTCCTTCGGGTTTGAATAATAATTCTCTTCTGAGGCACGTGTGTTGTCATCATCTTTCCTGCTTTTTCTCTCTGTGTTTGAGGAGACTGATTGCACCTGACCCTCCTCTGACAGTGGGTTTCGATCGAGGCCTTTTACAATGTGGTGTTCAGCCGCCTCAGGAAATCCCTCTTGTTTCATAAGAGATCAAATTCGCCCTCACGTGGGCACTTTTCAGCCCCCTGGTCAGCCAGAACCCACCAACTCTGTGTGTGGAGGGACAAGCTCCCTGTCACAGGCTGCTTGTGACTCACTGAAAAGTGTTGTTACCTTACAACTGCGGGGCCAGGATGGCAGCTGTGTAGATGAAAGGATCTGGGTTCACTTCCTCCTGCCATGGGTGGGAACGATTATGACCTGAAAAGTCTGAGGTTTGTTTCACCGAGTCCCCTAGCACCCTTGGTTTCACGTCATTCTGTTGCAAAATGACAGCATCCGGCCCTGTCTTTGGAAAGCAGAGGCAGAGATGGGAACTGACAATATGGCCAACAGGTCGTCAGATTCCAGAGTCCTAAGTAGCGCCCTAGGTAGCACCCCGTTGTGCTTATCCTGAACTTCTCTCTTCGGAAATGCAGGCTTTCTGTCTTCTGGGCTGGGAATGGCTGCGCCGCGGGGTCCCTGGGTCTGAAATGCAGGGGCCTTCAGCTCCAGGTGAGCAGTCAGACCTGGTTCCCTGGAGACAAGAGCTATTTTCTGTATTTTTCATTGCAGGGACAAGCATGGGGGTGGGGAGCACAGGCCCTGCCACCAGCTGGCCTCGGCTCTGATCCTGTCTCTTCCTCTGCCTGGCTGTGGCTCTACAGGCACGTCATCTAACCCTGGGGGCCTCCGTGTCCTCATCGCTAAATCAGATGGGAGTCAAGTACCTCCTGCCACACGGCTGGGAGGACGCAGTGCACGAATATTTATTTGTAAGATGCTCTTAAGTGTCTGGCGCATGAAAAGTGCTTATGTGAATGTTGGGGATTACTAACAGGGTTGTTTTTAAACATCCATCAAAGTTTCCATGAGCACTGGATTCTGTTTTCGCAGTAAAAGGACCTCGTGCCTTGCATACAACATCGACTACCCAGTTTGTACTCAAAGCTACACTGATTTTTGTTGCACCGTGATGTTGTTTAAAGAGGAAGCAGTAGGGCCGGCCGAGAGGCTCAGTTGGTTAAGAGCTCGCTCAAGAGTGCGAGCTCTGAGCAACAGCGTTGCCGGTTCGATTCCCGACCTGAGCTGAGCTGCCAACAGGTGGCAGGATGGCTCAGCTTAAAAAAAAATAGGAAAAAGTATATATAATGACGAGAGCTTTTGGAGTACAGAGAGTAATGACAGCATGTCTGGGCCGGATGCTGATTGGTGCCGCGACTAGCGGCAGCCCCGTTTCCGCATTCTGGATCTTCTCTGCCACCAAAGTCCTGCAGAGCAGTGACCAGGAACAGAGTCAAGACCGACTCTAAGGCACCGGCGTGAAGGATGCGGCTGCCATGTCTGGGATGCAAAGACAGTGGGAGAAGTGGGTTGTCTCTTTTCAGATGCCATATTGAATTTAAATTTTTACAGTAATTGTTTTAAGAAACACCTATTCAGTCAGCCACTGTGGAGAAGGTGGCAAAAGTAACAGAGTCTGTATGAGGCTCAGCAGAAGTTTGGGGAACCCCAGCCTTTCTTCCCTGGGAGTGTGGCCGCTCATGCAAACCCACGCCCATCCAGCTGCCTCTGCCCACGGATGCTGGTGAAATCACAGGAGACATCACGTAGCCCATCCCTGGGACCACGCGACTGGACAGTTCGTGCAGAAGGCCCTTGAGAGCTTTCTCCCGACGGTGAAACCCACACACGTTCTCCATCACCTCGCCCTGTGGCGTCTCTTACAAGGCCATGGGCTGTGGAGACAGCCTGACTCCTGGGGAATTTTATAGGGTCATTAACATATAAACATATATGGAAACTTGGTCTAAGCGTCCTCTATCAGATCATTTCCATAAATGATACTCTTCCATAGAAAAAAAAAAAAAGGATGCAACATAGATTTAATTCAAAGGCCAGCTCAGTTATGGATTTATGTCGAGCCGGTTCCTGAGACTAAGGCACGGTCTTCCATTGTAACTAATTCAGAACCCTGCGACGCAGTGATTGGAATTAGAGATGCTGAGAGTCATAAGAGTCCTTCCTCGCTACAAGATGAGATTATGATGCTACCATGAGTTTCTGCATAGTAAATAGTCACGTCTCCGTGTCTCGCAAAGAAAGAAGGTGATCAGCATACAGAGCGGTTTAGTCTGCACCAGGGTTTCCCCACCTGGGCACTGGGCTTTCCGGGCCGGATAATGCTTTGTCGGGGGCTGTCCTATGCATTGTGGGAGATTCAGTGGCATCCTTAGTCTCTACCAACTAGATGCCAGGAGCACCGCCTCTCTGGTGTGAAACCCAAATGTCCCCAGGCATCGCCAAATGTCCTCTGAGGGACAGAATCACCCCGATCGACAACCACTGGTCTACTTATTTGACATGCAAAGAGCACAGCTGCCCGGATAGTCCGTGTGCAGATTTGAGTGGGAAATGAAGAAATTCCTTAGGGCGAAAGCTGCTGAGACGGTGTGTCCTCAGGTTCTCTTCTGACAATGAGCATATGGGTTCCATGATTATATTCCTTCCCTACCAAGAGCTAAGTGTCCGATCAATAGAATCAATGAGCTATCGAAAGATACAAACCATTTTGGAGATTACTGAGGAAGAGAGAAGACACTTGGCTTCACCGTCCTGTGTCCGCGTGTTTCTGGATTTCCATGAACCTCGGGTAGCTGTCTCCAGTCCTGTCAGCAGGTTGGTGGCCCAGCCACCAACCCCACCCTTCAAGGCCGCTGCCCCCTCAGCTCACGTGACCGCTCCATCATAAATAAAGTTAGAAATCCTCCACCTCCTTTTCTGCTGGGTCTTCTGGGCCTTGTGATGTTTTTCAAGAGTAACTGACAGTAGTTCAGTGATTCGCATGGCTGCTTTGCCCCTTTCTGGGTAGGGTTTGTGTGCCAGGACTGTTAATGGAGCCTTCAGGGCATAAATCCTAAGAGATGATTTTTCTTTTTAAAGTAAAACGCTGTGAGTGAGGAGAGGGTGCTCCCAGAAAACGGAAGCGCCCCACCATTCATAGCAGGCTCAGTAAATCGGGGGGCAGTGAGGTGCTCTGAGCTGGGATGCAGAGGCCGGCGCGCTGGCCTCGCCCAGGGACCTACAGACTCATTAGCCCCGTCCTGGTTTGACTGGCAGATCAAACCAGATAATGGCATGCACAGCCATTATGGCTGATAACGAATGCTCCCCCAACCAAATCAACACAACGTCTGTGAGTTTAACAGCCACTCTATGTCCTCAGCATCTTCCAATAAATAAATAAAAAGGGTGAGGGTTGGAGGCAGGGAAGAAGCTTTTAAGGAGATGTGCGAAAGTGCCATTGTGTGCGGGGATGTGGGAAGCAGTGTTGTTTTTCCAAGCAGGATGAGGTTGTCCGTGGGTTCATTTCTAGAACCTAAGTGTCAGACAAGGGAACGCGGGCTGAGTTCAGAGACGGGCTCTCACGTCCTCTAAAAGGATGTTGTGTTTTTAATCCTTTACAGACAAACCTAGTTCCCAACCAGCCCAGGGCGAAGGGCAGAGTCCTGGGGTCCCACTGGGGTGTGTGGGAGGGGGTTCATGGGGCCCATCTCTGCAGTAGACTGAAGCCAGTCATGGATTCAAAACTGAGCCTACACAAAGTACACAGATATTCATGGCAGCGTTATTCATAAGAGCCAACACGTGAAGGCAACCCAAACATCCCTCAACGGATGAATGGATAAGTCAAATGTGACATGTCCCTATAATGGATGTTATTTGGCCCAGGCAGGAGCAAGTT